TGGATGACTAAGTAAAAAATATAATCATTGGATCTGTTTATCTGACTGTTGCTGGAAAAACAGGAGAGTTTTGACATAATATTTTTTACCTGTAACATGGTTCTCCACTTTGTATGTGTAAAGACCACAGTAAATGGGTTTTACCTCAAGAGAAATTGAGTTGTTCAAATTGGAAGAAAAAAATTCTTCACAGGAGCAAGTTTTATTTAGACTACTCAATTCCTAAGGTTATGAGTCACCATGTTTTGTTAACATTTGCTTGAGAGCCTTGTACTTGATAATACACTGCCATGCCATCTGTTTACATATGTTTGAAAGTTTGAAAGCATGGCTAAGATCATAAATGTAAAGATCATCCTCATTTCTCTTCATAAACATTTTGAATTTCTGCTTAGTAAAAAGCTAGCCTGTCAAAATAGCTGTAAATCAAAAACTGCATATCAAAGATCTAGGAAAAGAGATTATGAAAAATTTATTTCAGCATGTATAGCATGAAGTTATAATTATTATACATGGCCTCATACAAATTTATCTTTTAAAAAGCCAAGATGTTAAAACTTACTGGCTGTACCAAAAAAAACAATAGATATCTATTTTTTAACCCACAAGTCTAATCCAATATCTACTTCTCTTGAGTAGTCTGTTTGCAATTTTTAAATTAACTTGTTTATTTTTCCAGTTTTGTTATAATTGGTGATATAACATTGGATAATTTTAAGGTGCATAGCATGAAGATTTGGTATAAGTATATGTTATGAAGTGATCACCACAATAACTTCAGATAACATCCATTACGTCACAATTAGTTTTTAATTTTCTTGTGATGAGAACTTGTAAGAACTACTTTCTTAGCAACTTTCAAATATACAAATGCTTCTATGTCTAAACTGGTATCATTCATGCTGCAAATAGACTCCCTGCGGACAGGGGGAGAGACTGAGTTCCAGGCGAATAGTCAAGGGGCTGTTGCTTCACTCCCTGTGACTAGAACTGGGATGTTGGTTGTGGGAAGGAGCAGAGTGGACAGGTGTGTATGAGAGTCTTTCAGGGTAAATGTCAGAGACAGATGATAGGGAAAAGGATAGGGGTCAATGATGTTGGGGCTTGAGCACCTGCCCTTGCCAGTCACTGAGAGAGAAGATGGAAGGGGCAACAGGTGGAGGTGGGATGGGGTGATGATGAGCTCACTTCAGAACATAGTAAGTTTGTGAAGCTGCTGTATCATCCAAGTGGAGATGAAAGTAATTTGGCAGTATGTGTCAACTGTCATAAAAATGTTTCCACTTCTAGGCATCTCTTTTAAGATAGTAATGTTAAAGAATATGCACAGAGATCATCTTTACAGTATTATTTATAACATCAAAACATTAGAAGAAACTTATGTGGCCAACTCCGAAATAATTATGAATAAACCATGTGCACTTAAAAATTATATTCCTGTTAAAATAAAGTAATTACAAAGACTATAAAATATGGAAAATGCTTATGAGGAAAATGCTTATGATGCATTAAATGAAAAAGTGGGATACAAAATTATATTTTGGAGATGATTGCAATTAGGTTAAAATATATGCACTTGAAAAGTATTCTGCAAGGTACATTGGAAAATGAAAATCATGATCTTGGTAATAGAAATTAATTGTTTTTATATCCCAAGTTTTATGTAATGTTTTTATATTGCTTTTATAATTTGAGGGAAAAAAATAAAACACTTCAGAGCACCCAAAACTTATGCTTACGCCTATTTATGTTATCTTGAAGTGAATTAATTTAAAATCTTACTAATTATAAATGCAAATCAATGTTATGTAAAAGCAAGAGGACTTTTAACAATTTTTGAAATATTTAATTTCTGTATTTACAAATATATTTCACAGTTATCAAGGAAAAGTATGGTCTTTGCAAGGAAGTTATAAGGGGATGGAAACTGGCTTTATATGAAGCTTAAAAGTAACAAGTTGTTCTAAATGGAATATATTTCTCTTTTAAAATTTTTATTGCAGAGTAGTTGAATTACAATGTTGTATTAGTTTCAAGTATGCAGCAAAGTGAATCAGTTATACATATATCTGCTCTTTTTCAGATTCTTGTTAATATTACAGAGTATTAAGCAGTGTCCTGTTCTATGCAGTAGATCCTTATTCGTTATCTGTTTTTTATGTAGTAATGTGTATATGTCAATTCCAGTCTCCCAGTTTATGCCTTCTCCCACCCTCCACCCTCCACCTTCCCACCAGTAACTATGATTTTGTTTTCTACATCTGTATCTTTATTTCTGTTTTATTAGTAAGTTTATCTGTACTATTTTTTAGATTCTGTTATAAGTGATACCATATGATGTTCGTCTTTCTTTGACTTCACTCAAGTTTGACGATCTCTCGGGCCACCCATGATGCAGCAGATGACATTATTTTGTTCTTTTTTATTCCTGTAAATGGAATATATTTCTACTCACTAATCATGTGAATTCTTTACCAGTGGTTTCTTACATCTGCTTTTTCTGAACTTTTTCTGAAATTTTTAACTTGACATAAAGCACAACCAGCTGAATCTGTGTAATTGTGCTCTGGGACACAGCTGTTAATTAAGGGTGTGGCTTCATAGTAACGTAAATTTGGATTTTTGTGCCATACTTTTATTTCACTTCATTAAAAAACAGCTTTATTGATATACATTTTACATATTATACAGTTCACCTATTTAAAGTATATATAACTCAGTGTATTTTAGTTTATTAACAAAGTTGTACAATTATTACCACAGTCAATTTTAGAGCATTTTTATCCTTCTAACACTCCCTTCTTACACCCATTAGCAGTCACCACCACTACAACCCCTGACTCTAGGCAACCGCAATTTACTTACTTGCTGTCTCTATGAATTTGCCTATTCTGGACATTTCATCATCAATGGAATCATACAATATGTGGTCCTTTGGGACCAAAGTCTTTCACTGAGCATATTGTTTTTAAGGGTCATCCACATTGGAGTATGTACAGTACTTCATTGCTTTTTATGGCGGAGTAATATTATATGGATATTTTACTTTTTATCCATTTGATGGTTGATGAGTACTTGAATTTTTTCTACTTATTGACTATTATGAAGAATGTTGCTATGAACTTTTATGTACAAGGTTTTTGATAGATGTATTTAAATTTCTCTTAGGGTATGTACTTAGGAATGAAATGGCTACCTCATATAGTAACTCTGTATTTAATCTATTGAGGAACTGCCAGGGTGTTTTCCAAAGTGGTTGCACCATTTTACATTCCCACCAGTAGAGTAGAAGAGCTCTAATTTCTCTCCATCCTGGGCAGCACTTCCTGTTGTCTGTATTTTTCATTATAGCCATTCTAATGGATGTAAAGTGGTATCTCATTGTGGTTTTGATGTCTGTTTTGCTGATGATAATGATGTTGGACATTGTTTCATGCACTTATTGGACATTTGTGTATCTTCTTTGGAGACATATATATTCAGATCCTTTGTCATTTTAAAATTGGGTTATTTGTCATTTTGTTATGGAGTTGTTAGAGTCTTCTATATGTTATAGGTGTAAGTCCTTTATTAGATGTATGATTTGTAAATACTTTCTTTCATTCTGTGGGTTGCCTTTTCACTTTTTTGACGATGCCCTTTGAAGCACAAAGTTTTAAATTTTGATAAAATACAGTTTATTTTTTTCCTGTGTTTGCTGGAACTTTCTGTGTCATAACTAAGAAATTACTGCCTAATCCAAGGCCATTAAAATTTGTTCCTGCTTTCTTCTCAGAGCTTAATTGTTTTGGCCCTTACATTAAGCTTTTGATTTTTTTTTTGAGTCAGTTTTTTATATGGTGTGAGGTAGGGGTCCAGTTTATTGCTTTTGCATGTGGATATGCAGTTGTTCTAAAGTACCATTATAAAGACTGTTCTTTCCCTCGTTGAATAGTCTTGGCACCTGTGACAAAATCAATTTGCTAAAGATTTTATTTTTGGACTCTGAATTCTAGTCCATTGATTTACATGCCAAGCCTTATGGTAGTACCACATTCGCCTTATTCCTATTGCTTTCTAGTAAGTTTTGAAATTGGTAACTGTGGGTCTTCCAACTGTGTTTTTCTTTTTTCAAGAATTTTGTGTGGGTCACTTGAATTTTCATATGAATTTTAGGATCAGTTTGTCAATTTCTGTGAAAAAGATGGCAGGAATTTTGATGGGTTTATTCCATTTATAAGTAATTATGGCACTGTCATTAAGAAAAGAAATAATATTTATTTAGAATAATTTTCTGGTTTTCCCTTTTCTTTTGAAAAGATCTTTGAAATTCCTAGCTGCTCAAGCTGCTCCAAGATTAAACACTATTATCTCTGGCTTCTCTTTTATTATGAAACTCTTATTAGTCAATTAAATTGAGTTCCCCTAGTTGCCAAGATACATATCAAGAAAATAAATTTTGTTTGCCTAATTTGTGTTTACCAAACAGTAGTTTTTCGTCTTACGTTAGCTTCTGAGATAAAGATTTAGAGACCTTGTGTGAGGAACCTAACAGTAGGGGGTCTGTGCAGTAGAAAAGCCTGAAACTATTAGAAAGAATAGATCTGCCTGCAGTTCCACACCTCAGGATGTAATATCACAATCTTATTAAAATGAAATTAGATGAAGAATTATTACTGATAATTATCTTAGTGATAATATTATTTAAACAATTTAAGAATATTTTGAATGGAGTCTATCAAACCTAATCAAATATGATACAGGGTGAAAAAATTTTTAGAAAGTAACAGAGTTAAGAGAGTGTCTATACACCAAAGCACTCAGTAAATATTGGTTGAATAAAGGAAAGAATGAAAAGAAGCCCCTGCATGAATCACTGTTTTTAAAGCCCAGGCCCCTACCTTAGGGATGATTCTAGATAATCCCTCAATTCAAAAGGATAAATCCTGCTTTCAGGGTAGATTTATTTCAGTGTTTCCAATTTTCTTAAAGGATAACCTGAGAGTTTCACATTTTTGCAGCGTTTATGTCATGGTTGGTGCCGACGTCCCATTTTCTTCTTGTTTACGAGAAGTTGAAAATCCACAGAATCAATTGAGATGCAGTCAAGAAATGGAGCCTGTAATAACATGTGACAAAAAATTCCGTACTCAATTTTACATTGACTGGTGCAAAATCTCATTGGTGAGTTTCTATTTTGTTTTTGCAACTGTAACTAGAAGTGATGTGGCTGAAGATAGCATTTGACTAAAACCTGAACTGCTTTTAGGAACATATCCCGGGTTTACTTTGTTAACTGCAGTTGACTTCCCTTGACTTTTAAGGGTTTGGTGAGACCGTTGACAGTGCATGCGTTTAAGAAATTGTACCTCCACTTTTGTACTCAGTCTACTCTTGATTACTTGTTGGGGCCGGATTAGCTTGGCAGGTGGTCTGAACAATCCCCGGACATCCAGGTGGCTACTAAGTCAAGTTTTGGAGTCAGTGTAACATGGGCAGGAAGCCTCAAATATGCTGCCTTGTCCCACTTTGGAAGGCAAGACCAGAGTGCAATGATAAATCTGAAAATAAAGCAAAATTGTGCTATGATTCGGTGTCCTGGAAACTCATTGTCGGGAAAGATCAAGGAATAAAAGGAAAAGAAGAGGAAAGTTAGAATCTTACCCAGAGCCCCTTAAATATTATTCTTTTTTCTGAATCATTTTTTAATTAGCATGCTCAAAGACTTAGGAACATATGAGTAAGATTTCATATGTATGTCAGATACATATGATATTGTACATATAATTTCTGTTATATTTTTGATCCTCCTTTCTGGAAGTTAGTTTACTTCTCTAGTGACCTTTAGATTTAACTTCAGCCCACTCTTAGGTCTAAGTTTAAAGTTGACATTTGAACAAAGTTATTGACACATAAACACAACTGTCACTTGATGTCTTAGAAAACCATCTGCAGGTGCCTTTCCTAGATGCAGGACGGGAGAACACCCTGCTCACACTGAAGCACTTAGCACCCGTGACCCTACGCCCCAGACTCCTCTTTCCAGGTCACATGTGCCTTAGGAAAATAATGCTCTTTCTTTCTCTGTTTTCTCAAATTCAGTAAAAGTATTCAGATGCTGTGTGGTTTATGTGTTCTGTTCGATGAATGTTGAATTTACAGAGCTCAATATTTTGGCCATGTGCTAATCATAGAAGGGCACAACAGATGGAGTGGCTGCAGTGGTACCTTAAATAGATGCTTCTCACCAGAGCAGTAGACAGACAGCCCTGGTGATGCCGTTTTACCTGCGCTTGAGCTGTACACTATTCATGTTTGGGAAAATTATCTAATTTCTAAAGGTTTTAAAATGACTTGCTTTGAAGACTGCATTTTCTGTGGTGAGACTGCATAAAAAGAAAGGTTGGGAATTTTTGTTTTTTTCCTTTTGCATGTATGTATGTATAGGTTACATCTTACCACAGAAGATTTCAGGATGCTTACATAAGAGTCAGATAATAAGCATAATAGAGCAAATATAAAAGAACTGGAAAATCAGGACCTGCACTTTACCAAAACATAAAGCCTAAGGTCAAGTTTGATAATAAGCCTCCTAATGTCCCTGATAAAATGAGGAAGTTAATTTGTTATTTAGTTCTCATTCTTAAAGGAGGCAGAGCATCAATTCCTTGGCAGAAGATAAAGTTTTTATTAGCACTGTATCATTAGCAAAATTCTTCAAGTGGTGTTTAAGGGCGAGAATACTGAAAAATGCTGCAGATAATTCTCCCAACATTTTTTAGGGCAGGGAACAAATGTAGTAATCAATTTCCCATGGCTATTTTATTGTGTCCTTCAGTAAAACCCTTAGCATAATTAAATGCAGCTCAGTGAAAGCAATTCAATTAATGTAGAGGTAAATTAGTATAGTACAAGTGTTGTACATTTTTTGAGCCTGGGATAGAATTTAATGAAGCAATAGCATTGAATGTTCCTTAAACTATTTTTAAGGAAAATAGTTTATTTTTCCTAAAAATGACTTCTGTCTGCTGGATGGCAGAGGATCAAAGTTGTAGACGTTTAGAAACCATCTCTCTCCCTCTTTTTATTTCTCTCTTTTACTAACCTTAGAAACCATACCTGCATGCTGGTTATCAGTCAGTTGATGGTTTGTTGACATCTGCACTAGAGATTTGTCACTAGGAAACAAGAAGTATGCATAGTCATGTGGAGGATTTTTGCTTTGGGGGAAGTAAAGTGAAAAAGTACAGTCATACATGTGTACACATTTTTTGTGTACGTATATATATATGTACGTATATATGTTGTCAGAAGGACCTAGAAAGACCAATATCAACTTTTAACTTGTTACTTTCATTCATTACTTTTTCCTAGTTCCCATAAATAATTGCAAGTTCAAGGTGATAAAGCAATCAGGAAAGGTTGCTTTTTAGAAATTAGTCTGTATTGATATGTCTAGATCTTAAGCTGTCATAATATTTGTTACTATTAATTTCATGTGTAATTATCTTCTTTTATATCAGGTTGATAAAACAAAGCAAGTGTCCACCTATCAGGAAGTGATTCGTGGAGAAGGGATTTTGCCTGATGGTGGAGAGTACAAACCCCCTTCTGATTCTTTGAAAAGCAGAGACTATTACACGGATTTCCTAATTACACTGGCTGTGCCCTCGGCAGTAGCATTGGTCCTTTTTCTAATACTTGCTTATATCATGTGCTGCCGACGGGAAGGAGTGTGAGTACTTTAAAACACTAATAAAAAATTATAGAACTTCTAAGATAATATATAAGATTCCATTAAAACCCAAGTTTCATTTAGTTCATAAAACACCTTATAAATGAAATTATGTTCAAGTCAAACTACAGTACTTTATTCCTTTCAAATGAATTAAAATAGTTTTGAGCCTAGTAAACTAGAGGTTGTAATTATTATATTCAAAAATTATTAAGGCTAAATGTAAACTCATACTGCCAAAACAGTTCCAAGGATAATTGAGGCTAGGTATTTTGGTTACATAAGCCGTCCTGTGTAAGCAGAGACTGTGGAACTTATTGTCATGGTAATTGTACTTTAAATAAATTGTGTCAGCCTCAGTTTGATCAGAAATGATGGTCAGGTTTCTTGCAATTTTTCTGGATGTCAATCAGGGCAGTACAACCTAAATGTTTAAAAGTACATATGTAGATATATATAAATCTAGGAGTAAATTAATGAAAATAAAATGATAATTTGAGTCTTTACTCATGAATATGAGTCTTTACTTCATGAATAGTTCGTGCTTTCAGGACATCTGTGTCAATTAAAATAGTCTCCCGAGATTATCTGGAAGTCAGGGTGACAAAGCAAATGATAAAATATTAATAAAGCAGCAAGTAACAAATTCTTCCATTTTTTCATGTAGCCTGATTTCATTATGTCATAGAATTTATTTCCAAGAGCTTGGTGTTTAATCTCCATTTTTTCCCATTTTTTTCTGTGTTTCTCATCAGTATTCCATTTCTGTATGTGTACTCATCCAAGTAATGTCATAAACCTGGTGGCAAATGGTGCCTGGTTGCACTTAATAGTAACAATGTCAGCATTTCCACCTCATGCGAGATCCATGAGCATATAGTCTTAATGTTCCAAATTTCAATGCTATTATTTAATTCATAAATTTTGTTTTGTTTCTAGGGAAAAGAGAAACATGCAAACACCAGAGTAAGTGTCTTCTTTCCTGTTATTTTCTTTGTCATTTCTTTTTCACGCCTCAGTTGCTCATCACGCGCCATACATCTGTGTCATGCTTTTTTTTCATTCATCATCTTTCATAGTTTATTTTATAAATGTGAAAGCTGCTTTCTAAACAGAGAAATTTAGGAGGGGTAGAGAATAAAAAGGGTGTGAAAACTAAGATGATATAGGTAAAAATTAAACCTGAAATATTTCAGATTCAGAATATTAACTTGCCATTTATATGATGTGATTTCCCAATCTGCATTTCTGTAAACCAGAGAACAGATGAAAAGACCTTTCATACACGTATTCCTGAATCTACAGTAATAACCTACCATAAAATGAAACTTATGTGAGTATGTATAAATGCCCCATCAGAAGCAACAGTATAAAAGCTATGGTAGTTTTGTCTTAATCATAGAGATTAAATAGAAGAGTAGTTTGCTACCTAGGGCTGTAATATTAACACAGTGCTTTATAGCTTAGTTTAATGAAAAATAACATTTCTTTAAAAGTTAGTTTCTAATTTTCAGTTTTGTTATGTTAAAAGTATGTGAACCTTATCTTTTTCTGAAATAACTTGTAGAATGCCCAAAGTGCAATAATGTCGTCTTATTTAAAAATATATATATATTTTGTAACTTTTTCAAACTGATAATCTGTGGAGCTAGTATGTGATTTTAAATCTGTGTTGTTTTATTTCTTTTTGACCTAGCATCCAACTGGTCCATCATAGTGCTATTCAGAAATCTACCAAAGAACTTCGGGACATGTCCAAGAATAGAGAAATAGCATGGCCCCTGTCCACACTTCCTGTGTTTCATCCTGTGACTGGAGAAATCATGCCCCCTCTACACACAGACAATTATGAGAGCACCAACATGCCACTGATGCAAACACAGCAGTAAGTGTCCGCTTGGAACCGTCATTATTAATGCATGAATGTATCTGCTTAATGTCTTTCAAGACAGAGCTCTTCATTATGGTTGCATTTGTTTATTTGTTTGTTTATAACTGGAGGAGAAAAGTACCCAAGAACACTGATAGTGTAGATCCTAACCCCACGGCAAATACATAAAATTACTTTGAGGAAATATTTTTTTTTCCTTCACTAATCTAAACAAGATGATGTTCACCTTAACGTTAGCACAATGAATGAACTCACATATGCTTGCTCAAAGATGAGTTAATTGTGAAAAGAGAGGCATTTCCTAAAGCATAGCAAATTGATTATTTTTTAAAGCTATGATTAGAATTATTTGGTTCTATTAACCTGTTTTTTAATGTTATTACCAGAGAGCTATTTAATCTAAATTTTTTGCCTCAGAGTTTTTAAGGTTTTATTTATTTATTTTTAATGATTTGCTTCTATATCAAAATGAGTAGTTCCAATTTTGGCTCTAAAGACACTTTATTAGTACAGACCTTCTCTGTTGTGCTAGAAGAACTGTGGTCAGAAAGCTTGGAGGAGGCCTTTGTAAGGGGTAAGTGTAGAGAAAATTAGTTGAGGAGATTGCCCAGTTGTTCCTGAGAACCCATTATATATCTAGAAACTCCGGTTTAGTGTAAAGAAATTGTAGGTGAAACTGTCATTTATTTTGAAGAACATGACTCTTACTTTTTTAAACATATGTTAAAATGGGTTAAATTCAGTTTTCCTAAGGAAGTCACAGTTTGCTTTTGAGAGTCTTCTCTTTTTCAATTGACTTTTGTAGATAGAATGAATATATCTATCCTTCCCACCCCCAGCACACAGACAGACATACATACAGAGACACTCACACATAAATGTTAGGATATGATATAAAAGTAACCTCTTACTCATTAGGGATTTATTTGGACAGCATATTGGGTACATTTTTACATTGCAAATGCTTGTTTTACAACCATGTAAATGACATGTGGTAATTTGAAGATTAAACAGTAATTAAAATAGTGAGTAGTATAGACAGACTATACATTTGTCCAAAAGACTTTGACAATCTAAAAGTATTATGAAAGCATGCCTAGCTAGCTCAGTCAGTAGAGCATGAAACTCTTAAAAGTATTAGGAATATTTTCCTGAAGTCCTCTAGCAGTATGCCCTTATTGTTGAATAGGCCAAGGTATATATTTGTGTGTATGTGTGTGTGGGTGGGTGGGTGTAAGTAACTGATTCAATCTATTAGCAGTAGGGAAAATGGCATATATTTAAAAGTTTGAGTTTTGGAAACCATATTCTATCAAGGATATAAATGTTAAAGTTTCACAAAATCGAGTTGTACTGAATGGAACTGATGGATTTTTATGTCCTCGAGTGGTTAGTGGGGTCACTGTGAAACCTCTTTGCCAGGATTATTAGGAACCATTGAGAAAAATTAGGAAAATCAAGAGTGTTGGATATTATAGTACTCAAGAATATTGTAATAGTTCACAATTTTGCAATCTCTCCTGTCTTTCTTAGATGAAAATTATGAACAGCTGTGTTGTTTTATCATTCATTTGCAAACTGAAAAGTATTGAAGAATTATTTAAAGTTTCTATTTCTCACATCCTTTCCCTAAGAATGCTAGTAAAATGTCAATACCTGTTCTTCAAAGGTTGAAATATATATCTTCAAAAAAGAAACAGTCAAGTAAATTTGAGAAACAGAACTTTTGTTTTTTGATTTAAACTGGGGGAGTTCTCAGACCCTTTAGCATGTTGATATGCCCTGTGAATCCATGGGAAGTGGTCAGAAGAGGTAACTATCGAAAGAAAGAAGTTTGGGAATCTTCTACTGACAAAATAACAAATGCTGTCAAATTTTAGAAGAGGAGAATATTCATTATAATGAATAGGGGAAATGGAGTATGATTTTACAAAAAGTCAGTAAAACTTTAAGGGAGGATGAAAGGCTGGGTCATTTTTTAGGTGTGCTTTCTGACTATATATGTTGAGAATAAGGATAACTCCTTAAGCTTTATTTTGATTCTCTGTGATTAGGATTTGGAAATGTTGCTACTAATACCCAAGCAAAATAAAATTTCCTATCTAGTTTATAACTAAATGTATCTTCCCGGTCCTTCCATAACCCCATCAAGACTGTCATTATGTTGATCAGATCTCTCTATTTGCAAATGCGATAGATTACTTTATTGAACTTGCAACAATTTGACCATACATGTATTTTTAAGTCCAGAAAACCTTTATATTATTCAGATTTCTGCTAATGGAAAAAGTCCATTAACTAGCACTTCTATATAAATAGGGTACATAGATAATTGATGATGTTCACAATGATTATTCTGAGGCACTGTAAGATCATCAAGTGCGTCTGACTCATCAGAGGAAAATTAAATTACATTCGATGTAGTTTCGGTGTTGAGTGTATATTATCTTTCTTTTATTCTTGGAAATGGATAATATGTGCATGGTCTCTATGGTAACTCTCTATAAGCCAGAATATGTGATTAACCTCATTTTCCAACCATGCCAGAAAATAGGGAATTTATTGTATCAGGTTCATCACAATTGTCCTTTATGCGAATTCAACCTTTGCTCCTAACCTGTTTTTGAAGGTTTGTTTCAGCTCAGGTACACACATATATAAATATTGTGGTCATTTGGATCAAACTGAATTCTCAGTGTTAAAATGAGATATTATATTTGATAAGGCATTACAGAACTTGATAACCAGGTATATCCTTGGATAGAGCTGCCTGGTATTTATTAAACTCTTTCTAAAAGGGCATGAGTTTCATCTTCACAGAGGCATGCTAACTTTACTGAATTTATTGTTCATAATGTGGATAGCTACATCATTTTGTATTTATCCTTCAGATGTTACATCAGAAATATTTAGGCATAAGATAGGGTTGCAAGTTTATGTTGACTTCTAAGCAAGGCTTAAAAGTTAAGCTTAAAGCTCAACATTCAGAAAACTAGATCATGGCATCCAGTCCCATCACTTCATGGCAGATAGATGGGGAAATAGTGGAAATAGTGGCTGACTTTATTTTTCTGGGCTCCAAAATCACTGCAGATGGAGATTGCAGCCATGAAATTAAAAGACACTTACTCCTTGGAAGGAAAGTTATGACCAACCTAGATAGCATATTAAAAAGCAGAGACATTACTTTGCCAACAAAGGTCCATCTAGTCAAGGCTATGTTTTTCCAGTGATCATGTATGGATGTGAGAGTTGGACTATAAGGAAAGCTGAGCGCCGAAGAATTGATGCTTTTGAACCGTGGTGTTGGAGAAGACTCTTGAGAGTCCCTTGGACTGCAAAATCCAACCAGTCCATCCTAAAGGAGATCAGTCCTGGGTGTTCATTGGAAGAACTGATATCGAAGCTGAAACTCCAATAATTTGGCCACCTGATGCGAAGAGCTGACTCATTGGGAAAGACCCTGATGCTGGGAAAGATTGAGGGCTGGAGGAGAAGGGGACGACAGAGGATGAGATGGTTGGATGGCATCATCGGCTTGATGGACATGGGTTTGGGTGGACTCTGGCAGTTGGTGATGGACAGGGAGGCCTGGTGTGCTGGGGTTCATGGGGTCACAAAGAGTCGGACATGACTGAGCGACTGAACTGAACTGAAGCAAGGCTCAAGAACATCCAAAGCTTTTCTTCAGAGCTGCATAGAAACCTGTTTAGGTCTTTTAAACAAGTCAATCTGATGTATAGCAAACCTTGTAACAGTGCAGTCTAGGGAACGCTGTGTAATGGGAGGCTGCCACAGTTATTTATCAATTACACAACCTTCTTTTTGGTAGAATGCTTCATATGACTCCGGACTGGCCCCTTAAATTAGATAGTAAAAAATGATTAATCATTTGCAGATAATAAAATTAAGATATGGATAAGAGACTTTAAATTAGGTCAAAACCAGGATTAGATTATTTACCAGCCTTGATATCAAGTCAGCAATAGATACTGTGATCATTGACCTCTAGGATTTCTGATTCAGGCTACAGGCAAGGTGATTGAGCACACAGTAGAAAGGGTAACTGGAGCAGGTCCGGAGACAGGGCAGTTGCTAGACAGGATCTCTTCCTTCTCCTTTTCAGATTAGAGAGACAGCGCAGGCAGGCTTAAAATTATTACATGTATAGAAGTATAAAGCACATTTATTTGCTGTTTGCTAATGTGTTTATTGTTTGTGTGTGTGCTTAGCTGTGTCTGACTCTTTTGCGACCCATGGGCTGTAGCCCACCATACTCCTCTGTTCATGGAATTTTCCAGGCAAGAAATACTGGAGTGGTTTGCCATTTCCTTCTCCAGGGGATCTTCCCGACCCAGGGATCAAACCCACATCTTTTGTGTCTCCTGCATTGGCAGGCAGACTCTTTACCACTTGCACCACCTAGGAAGCCCCAATGTCTTTATTGTTCAATAAACTTTAATTCTGGAATGATTTAAAAGGTACAGAAAAGTTGCAAAGATAATACAGAGTTCACAGAGATACCCCATCAAAGTTCTCCCATCATTAACATCTTACTGCCCCATAATACATTGGTCACAACTAAGAAACCAACATCACGTGTGTGCTATGTCACTTCAGTCATGTCCACCTCTTTGCACATCTTTATAGCCCGCCAGGCTCCTCTGTGCATAGAATTCTCCAGGCAAGAATACTGGAGTGGGTTGTCATGCCCTTCTCCAGGGGATCTTGCTGACCCAGGGATTGAACCTGCATCTCCTGTGTATCCTCCATCGGCAGTCAGATTCTTTACCACTACCACCAACTGGGAAGCCCAGGAAACCAACATTTATGTTTTACTATTAACCAGACTTCAGACTGTTTCTTCTCACCACCACCCAGCCCCCCCTAGATTTCACTAGTTTTTCCCTCAATGAGCTTTTTCTTCTCCAAGATTATGTCTAGGACACAATAATTGGCATAGCTCTTTAGTCTCTTCTGCTCTCGGCAGTGTC